CATTTAATTGATCATGACAAGACTGCATTCATTACAAAACTATAAGCTGTATTTTTATTGTAATGCTTAGGAATTTTGAAATCGACTAGCTGGTTCAGTGATATTAAGAGTAGAGATGGAGAAACAGTTAACTCTCACGTGAATCGAGCAAAAAGGAGACAAAGGGGAGGAGATGGAGCTAGAGATGAAGGCAAGCAGTGAAGGGGTCAATTCCTAAAAAGAGGAGAGATGCATGGAGCTTACAATGAGATGAACCAACATAAGAGAAAGGGAGTGAGCGGAGTAAGGTGAGATAAATCAAATGAGCACAGAGTTGCAGATATCGTGCAAAAATGAAGGCAATAAAAACATGACTGCGAGTAGAAACGGTGCTCAAGCTAGCGACATGTCGAATTATGTTTGTGTAGACTAAGGGCTTGTGTCGTATCGTATTTGATCTGTTTTGCAAGATAAGGAACATGTGAGGGAGACAAGATCAAACATGAGCTGTCAGCGGGTTTGATCACGTAGACATTAATCAAGCGATGAAAGTTTCTACTTAGATGTTCTTATTTATATATTACAAATCCTAAATTTAGTTTAATTTTGAAAAAATATTTAAGCAGGTTTTTATTAGGGAAAACTCTATATTATAATATTGAGTTATAAAATATATTTTCTAGAATCTTAAATTGGATAAGTATGATGAATATAGTAGCAATTTTAAGAAATTAGGTAATACAAACAGCTATATTTTAATTCATATATTTTGAGTATAGAAAAGAAGTATGACACACAAAAAAAAATGTGAGTGTGTATAATTGATATAAAAGTTATAAGGTTAAAGGTCTAATAAAATAAATACATATATTTCAAAGAATAATAAAAATAAAAAAATATATTGTTCAAATAATTATAAATTACAAATAAAAATTGGTGAGTACAAAATGTTTCATAAAAAATATCATTATCAAATTGCAATTAGTTAAATTAAAAGAGATGATTTATAATTTTAATTCCTCATCAAATGAAATAATATATTCAAGATAAAATAAAGAACTAAAACAAGTTTTTTTTAAAAGTTGAGAAGAACGATTACAAGCATAGTTGGATAGATAGAAAAAAAATAGTTAAAATAATTATATTTCATACGTGTTTTACAGAAATAACTAATTTCTAGCGCGAAAAAGGATGTTGATATAAAAAAATAGTATTTTCACATTAAAAGGTAAAAGTAAATATTTGTATTTCTGAATTACTATTATAATAATTTTTTTTTTGATAAAATACATCGGTTAACTTTAATACTTATTCAATCAAATATTATTGCATATTAAATCATATTTTATTTGTTCCATGACTTTGTCATATTAAAATGAATGCTATAGATTCTTTCAACAAATTTAAATTATTCATATATATATATATATATATATATATATTTAAATATGTTGTTTGACATGAGAAGGTAAATGAAATAATTTATATATTATTTCTGCAAGTGCATTATGATTGAAAGGATTCACCGCTATAAAATTATATATTACTAATACTATTTTTTTATTTATGTGTACGAGTACTTTAGCGTCCCCAACTAATGAAATAATTTATATATTATTTCTGCAAGTGCATGTTGATTGAAAAGATTAATTTTGAAGCAGTGCATGTTGATTGAAAACAATCTAAATTATCATGAAAGTCTAAATCTTGTTAACTACTATTAACGATAAATACAGTATTTCAAACATTTGAGATTAGATAATCCAACCAATAATCCTCAAGTATTGACACATGATAACTAACATTGCATATAAAGCTGCGCAACATAATCATGACAACACTCAATTTCTAAAATCAAAATACATAAAGATAGTCAACACATGATAACTAACATAACACCCATTAGATATCATCCATCAAACTCTATGCATCACCATCAGTGTCAATAGATTCTTCAAGTTACCGGTGAGTTAAGGAGAAGACTCTTGGTCGAATACTCTGCCTTAGTTGTTCTTTATAAGTAAATATATCAGCTTTTGTGACCCTAGCAACTTATAAAAGTAAATATCTCCTAAAAATTCCTTTGAGTTGAATCCATTCATGAGATAGCATTTGGTGTGGATTTCTGAGTTGAATTAGGCTAATTCCTCATTTGATGCAAAAGCAATTTGCATAAATTCATATCTTTAAACCAAATAGACATTCACGACGATATAGCTTCTCACACTTAAAACATGGTTCTATAGTGTTGTGATCAGCCTGACTAATAACTTCATCAGCGTAGGACTTTATTTTCTTTCATTAGACTAGAATGAACTGTTGTTGTCACTTCTTCTAAGTTCTCCCTCTTGTGTATAACTTTACGCTTTAGAGTCTACTGAAAATCAATATCCACCCGCCTAGCCCTCTCCACTAATATTGAATAGTCTTCAATCCCTGGCTATCTGATTAAATCCTTCGGTCCAAATAAAAACATATGACACTTCTCCTCAACATTTGGAATTAATTGGGATGCATACCTTGAAAGCATAATGAACTCTACCTTGTACCGCATTATCGAACGATCGCTTCTATTAGCCAGCTAAATTTGTCATGCATCAATCTCCTGTAACCGGATAAACTTGTCATACATTCACCACGATGTTGCTTCTCATACCTAAAACATGGTTCTACAGTCTTGTGGTCAGCCTAACTATCCATCAACATAGAACTATTTTCTTCCATTAGACTCTCCAGAATGAACTGTCGATGTCACTTCTTCCAATTTCTTTCTCTTATGTATGTTTTTACACTTTTGAGTCCACTGAAAATCAATCTCCACCTGCATAACCCTCTCCACTAGTACTGAATATTCTTCAATCCTAAATGACACTAATGGCTACCGGATTAAATCCTTCAGCCTAGACAAAAACTTATTACACTTCTCCTTAACATTTGGAATTAACCGAGGTGCATACCTTGAAAGTATAATGAACTCTACCTCATACTGCATTATCGAACAATCGACTGTATTAGCTGGATAAACTTGCCATGCATCTGTCTTTTGGCTGATAGTGGTACGAGCCAGTCTATAAAAGCTAGCACAAACTCCTACCACTACACCAAATGGTTAGTTCTGTCTCCAAACTTCTCCTATAACTGTCTTTGTCACAATATCTAAATTTCTTCCTCAAAGGCAAAAGTAGGAAGTGTAACCCTTCTCTTTGGTGGACAAGACAACCTATCTACAATATTCTCCACTCTCATCAGCTAGTTCTCATCCTCCACTAAAATTCCACTTCCATAAAAGAGTGGGGATATTTGTCCATCTGGCCTCCCCCACTAGAACTGGCCTGAGACTGATAGTTCCCAATCATCTAAGTCATTGAGGTCATCCTCTTAGCAAAAGCATCAGCATTGACTATTATATTATGAGTATATCAACTTCTACCTTATCATCCCCGACCACTTCCTCTTGATCACCAATAATTATAAAATAATGAAATAATTTAACTAAACTTGGTTAAAATTATAAGTTTTATTATTAATAGTTTAATTCAATCATCCTAATGAGTCTTTCATTAAGATTCATGTTGTTTAATAAAAATCTAACTTTGAGACAATTTTTATCACGACCCAGCTCAAAACTTAGAATTAACCAAAACGGTAACGGATAATCGGACGGTGAAATTAAGTTTTCTATTATTATACTTCTATTGCTAATAATTTAATATTAATTGGAAAAACAACTAAACGAAGCAATTTAATTGATCAAATAAAAAGTTACCATTCAATTTATTGTCCTCACCTTCTGTAAAAAAGATCTCTTCTAACACTTATCTTAATCAAAATTTTAAAACCTAAGAAAAATACTAAAAAAACACAATGAGTTATCTAAGATAACTCAGTAAAGAAATTACACTTTTAAACAACAATCTACTCGAGGAAAAGAAATCAATATGCATGCCGGTCTCTACTAATATATTCTAGAAAATTATATAATAATTTATAATGTCTATTTGATGTTTGCTCATGAATGAAATCTAGAATTTCTCCATGTATTTTCTTTTATATTACTTTTCAACTTGTAATCTCTTAAGCTTTGGTATACTTCATATTATTAACGTTCACATCTTGTCTTAGGAGTAGAGTCAAAACACAACCTAATACTCTCCTGACCGATATTATCCCAGCAACGCAGCGGTTCATAATTTAAATTATATGATTGTATGAGGTGAAAAAGTGTCAACAAGCCCCGGGTCTGGTCGTGACAGTCAACAAGTGTTGTCAAAGCCAACGATTTGGTTGGAATGAGTGGTTCATGTTATTGGTGGCTCCCATGAGACTATAGTGGGCTCGTTGTGGTTGAACAATGATCAAAAGCTACTAAATCTTGTTTTCACGTGTGGTTAAGTAGACTTAGCACTTGATGAATTGCTTGAGTAAGGTGAGCGAGGGCTGTTGTGGAATGTTCTCATGTAAGGCAAAAATTGATAAAATACATGCTGCTTTGGGTTTAAACTTTCATAGAATATCTGAAAAAATATGTTATTGAAATTTGAAGTGGCTGGTCCCCAATTATAGGACTATGCTTTGAAATTAAGCTTATCGTTGTTGTATCTAGCCCAACTTTGATTCATCTTCCTCAATAGAATGTGTCAGTCCAACATGTTAATAGGCCAAAATATTGCGAACACAAACAACCTTCTAAAGGAAATCCAGCACGATGTTCAAGCTCAAACTATTAGCATTACTCGCTCAAAACTACTTTAAAAACTGTTTTAAATATCTAGCATTTGTTCTCTTTCAACTCCATACCAAGAAGAAACCTACAGCCCTCCACTGAACAAAGCCTCTTTCAAGTAAAAGCAAACAAATCTTCCACCAAAATGAATACTCTTCACTACCGTAGTTTCGGACTTCCCAAGAATCACTAAATGTACCCTATAGAAAACTATAATATTCTTGTTTACTTCAAAGCTAGAATAACTATAAATAAAATTATTCCAAATAAAGATCAGAAATAGGAAGAAAGAAAGAACCTGGTGATCTGGATTCTGGAACACAAAGCTTTTTGGCTTATTCACATGCAAAGTGCCTTCAGTTGGTTTAAGAAGCCCGGCTAAGATCTGGTTAATGAAAAAAAATACTAATTAAAGAGTCTACACCACTGCAGAAAATCTATAACATCTTTTATCATAGAAAAGCCAACAGGTTGCTACCACTAGCTTATCAAATAAATGAATGCTATACTCTTTGTGTGGGCACCAAGTTTCATGATTATTTTAGAAATGTTATCATTATTAAGCATAGGCTGCATAGCCTTATCCCAACTATTTAGAGTCGATTTATGAATTTTCTTCTTTCATTCATTCTTGTTGGGAGTTATCCTGTTATTTGTAAAAGAATCCAAATAATTTCTAAAAATGTTATCGTATATCTAACTATTTTATTTTGCAATCGGAGACATTGATTTTATTTAGAAAGTTAAGTGTTGAATTTATTACCATCATAAATGTTCTAACCACCAAATAATTTTAACTAATCTATCGTTGACAAACGTTGCTCCAACTGTTTCTCCAATAAAAGCATTCTTCTTCTAAAAATTCGCATGCATTATAATATTCTCATTTCAACCATATTCAACTTTGCAATAAACCATGTTTACCACCACCCAACAATCAAAATTTGACACAATCAAAATTTTTGATAAAATTCCCTATATCAGCTCTCCAAGATTATGACACTACTTAAGGACTTTTCCATTTTAATCACTTAGCCATAAAATGACTTAACAATATTTGAATAACTTCAAGCCATTAGAAGATTCAGGGTCCGTTTGGGGGGGATTATTTGCTGATTGTGCGTTTTGAAAACGCAGTCAGTTTGGTTCGAGAGTTTTGAGTCCCTCCCGTAAAACGCACAATCTCCTTTCTACAGCACCGCGGCCCACACCTAATGTACCGCAATTGAGTGTTTCGAAGAGTTTTTACATTACTTACCCCTCCGCCTCCTCCACTTTCCGTAGTTAATGCCCTAACGTTCCTCGCTCGCTTTCCCCATTTCGTACCCTAAAGTTCCTCGCTCTGAGAAGAGGAGATCTATACTATCGCGCCCTACTGTCGCGCTCTGAGGAGATCTGTAAGTTGTTGTCTTTGGTTACCGTAAGAATCAAGAGTTTCGTATGCATGAATTCGGTTAACTATGGTGGGCCGTAACTAGCATTTGGATTTTTTTGTGATGCCTTATCGTTGAAGTTCTTCAATTATTATTTCTTCCTGAAAGATTTCTTGAAAAAAGTAAAGTAGAGGGGGGAAGATGATTCCGTTCGGAATGGGAAGAAGAAGATGTCCAGGGGAAGAATTTGCCATGAGAGAGGTGGATCTGGTTTTGGATACTTTGATTAGAGGTTTTTGGGATTTCTGCTAGTAACATCCTACCCGTGTTTGGATCAGTATATCCATGCATTTGATCTTACCTTTCTGTTAAAACGATGAACAATATTTTGGGGTTGTTGGGATTTACAGTGCGGTTATCTTTTTTGTTAAATTTCAAATAAGTTGCCTACAAAACGCACAAACCAAACAGCTGCAGCTTATCCAGAACATGGGTAGTTTGGTCATTTATTCAGAATCAACTGTTTTCAAAATGCACAAACCAAACAAACAGACAGATTATATGGATCAGTTGTTTATCACCAGGTTATCAGGATAAGTTGGATAAGTTGCAGCTGCCCCAAACAGACCATCAATCTTCTCACAACACAAAAAATTGAAACAAATGATGAGGTAAATCAATTGCAAGAATTTTGATAAAACAAGTAGTTAAATGGTGCAATCTTTCCCCTCATACATGTTCAAACCTCCTAGACCTAACAAAAAAAAAAAAAAACCTCGTACAACAGTTTTTAATTAATTAATTTTCAATTTGCTACTCCAATCATTTCTCTAATATAACATTCCTTGCTTTATCATTTTAAATTTGGAATTCTTCTAACATTCTTATTCAAGCAATACTCAATAATGAACTATTTTTGCCCAGTGTTTGATCAAAACATGTCCTTAGGCGAGTTCACACCTTAATAATATAACTTGCAAGCTGAAGCTAATGAGTAGAATAAAAGTAAAGAGAGATTTAGAGAGAGAAGATTTCAGTATTCTAATTACCACAGTAAAAATACATAATATTGTTGACCTTTCATACTCCCCTTGGCCCTTTATTTATAAAATTTCGAGCAATAAAGAAAAATTATGCATAAAAATTACACAAATACACTTTTTTATATGATACGTGAACACTATGATTAAGACTCAGGATTCATAAACATTGATAAACACATTGATAAATGGACACAGATTAAGGGTCTGTTTGGGGCAACTGCAGCTTATTGAATAATCTGTTGATAAGCTGATTAAAAATAATCTGCTGATAAGCTAGGTGCGGTGACTATTATAAATTTTTATTTTTTTTTTAAAAGTCATATCAATGCTAGAAAGTTGCCACCGCAACAAGACATGTGCGGTGTGAAAATGTTGTTTTTGGCGTTTTGAAGACGCATAAGCTGTCAAAACGCAGTTTAGCTAAACAGATCAGGTGTGTTTTCAAAACGCCACCGCACAAAATAAGTTGCCCCAAACGGACCCTAACTTGACAATGTTGCTCGACTCACTCAGTGAAAATGGAATTCTTTTGCACTATGGGCGAGGGACTTGGAGAAGCCAATAAATCTGATCGCACTAATAATTATTTTATACTCAAGCGAGTGACTTCTAGCACGGAACATAGAGCGCCTAAGCTAGAACAGTCCTCATTAATGGGGCGAGTTACTTCTAGATAGGTATTTGACCTAAGCTCGATAAGTACTCATTAATGGAACGAGTGGCATCACGCCGAAGGAGAGCATCCACTGAGCTTCAAGTGAGTGCTTTTGAATGTCTTTAATTTAAGCGAATTTAGAAATTATGAGTATATTTAGTTACCTAATTTTCTTTCATTTTTATTAATTTTGTGACAAAATAATATAGAGAAATAAGCAAAACATTTATAATCTGAGAAAATTTTAAAGTTTTGCTTTGTTCTAAAATAAAAAATAATACTGACATTTAGTACTTCAATTATGACCTTGTTGCGACTCCTTTGTATGTTGGAATCTTTTTTTATTATGACACGTGTAAGGTCATTGCTCTATATTCACTCCAATACCAAATTCTTAGTCAAGTTGTGTTCACTTATTAGTAATGGCAAAACTATCACCTCATTTCAACCTATTAGAGGAGTGTGACTCGCACCGCCTATGGCGGCGAACATTCTGAAACATAACTTGCATTGGAACATCAAGCTTTAGTTTTTTTGCACTAGGGGCACCAAGGGTGAATCCAATTATCCGGTTCGGAAGAATACCAAGAGATGAATTCAAGCCACAAAAGTTTAGAATCCATGAAACAAAAGTTCATATCGTGGTACATCATGAATAAGGTTGAATCCCGCTTAACAATGTATTCTATGGTTGTGGTTTATCAAATGCACTTGTAGTTTCTCAGGTTGCAGTGAAAGGTGCCAGTTAGGTGACTTCCATTGTTTATTTACAATGACGAAGTTCCAATGTTTGTAAGGGTTGATAGCTCTTATTCTTATTGATTTCCCTTTACTAATAGGCAAATCCTATCAAGATTGTCAACTCATTAGCCAAGAAGAGTGAGTTGCGACAAGCTGCTATATGAGGTAAAACTATTAAGTTTAGATTGGAGGGGAATCCCTCCATAAGTCCTATGGTTCTTGCTTGAGTGGGACAATGATTCATGTTACATTATAAGAGCTCTCAGGCTACCGCTCCATGGAGTCAAATACCGTACCCTCATAGATGTGATCTCCAAATCTTGTTCCAAGATAAAAGCTCTGCAATGGTGACTCACGGAGGTCCACCTCAATATTTTTAAAAAGAAAAGACTTCAAGTTTTTTAACATTTTTTTTTTCATGGCTGAGATGGCTTCAGTAGAGCATTTGGAAGGTGCTGATAAGAATCACACCACATAGATCAATAATGATGCCTTTTTCATGCCCCGTGTTGATGCATGTGTGATGGGGTTGGCCAGCTCCTCTGTACGTTAAGATTGCGTGAAAGAAAACCATTCTATTTCTTTTATCGCCCATTTCTCATGGCTGCAGCCTGCTTATGCAGCTATAGTGTCTGCAAATCAAAATATATGAGCTCAGGGAATCCCTAGTTCCCCTGACAGGATGCATGCAACTTTTCATAGGAGCAATTAGTTGGGGTTAACACATTAGTTGAAAGGCTTTTCGATGGAGACCAGACACCCCCTTGTTTCAACAAATATATTGCAGCAATCTGCTGAGAGGTTCAAGATTTAAGGATGGAGTTCTCCATTGCCAGCAAATTAAAGCAATCCTAGAGACATAAGAATATCTTGGTGGGCAGTAAATTCATCCTAGAATGATTGAAAATGAATGGGAGCATCCCGATGGATATGTTAAACAACTTTGTTCTAAATTTGTTTCTCGGTGAGTAGTAGTGGACTCACTTTTTGGTAGGAGCAATTAGTTGGGGTTAAAACATGAGTTGAAAGGCTTTTCGATGGAGGCCAGACACCCCCTTGTTTCAATAAATATATTGCAGCAATCTGCTGAGAGGCTCAAGATTTAAGGATGGAGTTCTCCATTGCCAGCAAATTAAAGCAATCCTAGAGACATAAGAATATCTTGGTGGGCAGTAAATTCATCCTAGAATGATTGAAAATGAATGGTAGCATCCAAACAACTTTGTTCTAAAGTTGTTTCTCGGTGAGTAGTAGTGGACTCACTTTTTGGTAGTGTTCTTTCAGAAAGTATTGAAGGACCATCTTCCTGTAATGCATGTGTGCTCATAAAAAGTAGGCATTTATGTTTAGAGTTTTTTGATGTGTTGCTCTATATTCTTTTGCGCCAATCTAGATACATTTTAACTATTTTTATGGTTTTTTATTTTCACTTTACTATCATCGATGCTTATACTGTCTCTTTAGCAAACAAGCGAAATGCAACATGATGTCAGCAAGAGATATAAAGAGAATTTAGTTATTTCTATCAGATGTGATTTTTTCCTTCAAAATCAAAATTTTCTTATTATAAATACCCATGGTCCCCTTTTGAATACGTCTACGCTGATCCTTTTCTTTGCTTGACTCTCTCCTCTCACAAGCTTTTCAAAATCTTCTGACTCATGGCTACCCCTCAATTGAAGTGTGCAAAGGCATTTTGAGTGGGTGAATACACCCACAGCATGCTGGCCATACCCATGCTCATTAATACAGTATTCCTTTTTTACTGCTACGGTAATAAGAATTTTAAGGTGCTTCCAAGTGCCCGAGAGTTTGCCAATTTGTTTGCCAAAGAGGATTTATATTTTTACGTTTGATTTGGTTTAAGGTTGTCATTGTGCCCAGAAATAGTAGACATGTTGAAATGTTATAGGGTCGTACTTGCAAAAGTTATGACCAACATCATCACAAGTATAGCAACTAAGATTTCTTATATGTGGAAAGAGAAGACACCTTAGAGCCCCAACTTCTTCCAACGTCTCTTTGTAGAGAACGATTTCAAGGATGGGTGTGTCCAGTTCGCCACACATACCAGGATGCCCATGGAGAATAAGGTGAGAGACTTATAGAGAAAATACTTGTTAATAGGTTGGCAATAGAAGTCCGTTTGGGGCAGTTTACGACTAAGGGTCCGTTTGGGGCAATTTATAAGTGCGGGCTGAAAACGCCGTCGTACCGTTTGGTTTGCGCGTTTCGTCAGCTTTTCCGAACCTGCGTTTGGGGTCTTTTACACTAAACGCAGGCCGCGGGTCGACCCTTACGGTCGGCCACAAGCGGCCCCAAAAGGACCCTAAGCCAACCCCATTCGCCAAAGAGAAGGTTGATGTATTGGTTTTGGGAGTTGATGAGTATGTAAGTATCTTAGTTTAAAAAGCTTGACGCTGACATCAAGTTGTTCAGCTCTATTTGTGAAAAACTTACATGTTAAGCCTCGCTTGCATCAGTAGCCTTCATGGGAAGGATTTTAA